TTGACCTGGCAGAGAAGAGGGATTTTAAGTTCCGGTGCTTTCAGTCCTGAAGTCCATCAAGCCATGTCCCCATCTGCACAGAAGGTTCATAGTAACCCGTCCCATGGCAGCTTGGGAGGATGCTGGGCCCAGAACAGGGAGAATGCTTCTTGATCATCTGTGTGGGTACGGTGCTATAGTCCCAGCGGCTAAAATATTGCAGGTACAGAGTAGGTGCCTGATAAATCCACGAATGCATGAATGAATGATCGATCGATCAATCGATCAGAGAGGTGACGTGGCCAGGATCACGTCGCGAGGCCCTGACTCTTATGCTGCACCGTGACAGCTGCTTAATCTAAACCGATGGGGGATGCAGGTGAACATAAGTGTCCCGTTTCCTATGGCCTTCAGCCAGAGACGAAAGACAGTGACTAGAGCCGGTCTCCTGTCGGGCACCACCTGAGTGCGTGTGGGCCGAGGTCTCCGGGGAAACAGAGTGGAAGCTGGAGACCAGTCGTGCGGGGGGTGCTCATCTGACGAGAGGGCGGGGAATTCAAGCGCCTCCCTTCTAAGAGCGTGCTCCCTGCGTCCAAGCTCAGGCCAACCCGCCTTTTATTTTTTAAAAATACTCGTTGAAATACTCCATTTCAATCTGATCATCTTTCATGATGCAAATCCCTAAAGCCTCTTTGCCAATACCCAGGGCTTCTCAAACCATCACTTGGTAAAGACTCACCACATAATCTTACATCCTACTGAAGTCGCTGGCCCTTTGGTCAGAGGCAAGGGCTAAAGGGGACACTGATGGTGAATTTCAGGTTAATAAGGAGAGTAAAAGAGCTGATAATTCTGCCAGTTTGCCCCCAAGATTTCTCTACCACCATCTTACATTATGGTTTTATAGGGGGGAGAAGGGATGTGGTTCGAGGGTCCAGGCCTCTTGTTCTTTTGTGAAGTCTTACAGAGCAGTGGTTCTCCAAGTGGGGACCGGGGACCCGAGGCAGCATCTCCAGGGCATTTGTTAGGAACACAGATTCTTGGACTGTACACCAGCCCTGCTGACCCAGAGATGGGTGGGGCCCCCTCATTCGTGTTTGACAGTTTCCAGGTGATTCTGATGCATGCTCACACTACTAGTGTGGTATTCTTAGCTGGTCCCACCTAGAGATTCCTAGGAAAATCATATTTGCCCAACGGGATGGCATCCTCAACCTCCTCTCTCATTGCCCTAATTCAGCCTCATCGTCTCTTGCCAAATGTGGGATCAGATACTTTCAGTAACAAGTAGCAGGAAATCTCAACGCAAACCAACCTAAACTACAGAAGAAATTAACTGGCTTGCACGTTCTGTTTGAAGAGTCCAGAGGGAGGTCAGGTTTGAGGTCAAGTTCAAGCAGGGCTCCCTTAGCTGTGATTTTTCTCAGCCCTCTTCTTTGTCTCAGTTTTGTCTTCACACCGGTTTGCCTCGTGGTTGCAAGGTGGCTGCCTGCAGCCGTCAGGGCTGTGTGCTTCCTAATGGGCTCCAGAGGGAGACATCATGGCATCCCACAACATCAGGCAGAACTAATGAGCTTTGCTCTGATCAGACCAGCCCTGCACCAGCCCTCAGGGCCAGAGGCAGAGCATTTCCCTGAGAGGTTTAGTCCCCACTTCCACTGGGGTGAGGTGAGTCCCTTCCAGCTCTTCTGGCTGTTGCACGAAGGGAACGGAAGAATTGCTGTGTGTGCAGGGGAATACAGCCCTGGGGCTGCCCAGGGCACCGGGACTCATAAAATGGCCTTTTTCCTGTTTGCCCCCAAGCCACTGTCCCCTGCTTTCCAGGCCTTCAGAGATGACCCATCTCTGGATGTGTCACCCTGAAGCAGAAAACTGTCTCCAGCCCCCCTCGTTAAAACTCTTCAGAGCCTCTCCCCAGACATACGTGCAGCTCTCAGGACAAAGTTCATGCTCTGAGATGTTCACGTTCTAGTTCCAGTCGAGCTTTGTGGCCTGCTCCCTTCCCAGCCTTTGAACCCCGGGAAACACTCCACCTTCCGCGCGCCCCCGTGCAGCCCTGCCTCTGCACGTGCGGTATGCTGCCTGGAATGTCCTAGTCTGTCTTTACTTGGTAAATTTGCCCTTCAAAAGCCTAGCGCAGGTGTCTCCTCCTCTGGGAAGCTCTCCAGGCCAGGAGAGCCAACGTGGCCACAGGCTTCTGGGTAACGTAGTCACCATGTGCCTGTACCTCTCAGCCCCGTATCTGCCTCTGCCTGTGTTCTTGGGGTAGGGACCGGTCCGATTTGTCCTTGGGTCTCAGTCCCCAGGCTTGTCACACATTAGGAGCCCAGATAGTGTTTGTTGATCGAATATTACTTTTATGACCCTCACTCAGCCTAGCAATGACGGGGCATCTGGTAGACCCTCAGTTGATAATTGTCAATGGTCCTAACCGTTGATCAGAAACCTCACTTCTTCTCCAGGTTCTGAGGAAACCCCGAGCCACAAGCTACGTGTTGCCCTCTTGAGGGAGCACAGAGGATGAGGCTCTGATGGGTTCAGGGACTCGCCCCTCGGTACTGAGAGCTGCCGGATTTGGGGCTGGATGGGGGCTTAGAGGCCTTGAGCTTTGCACCCAGGAACCCCACCTCCCGAGGTGTGTCCTTCCACCCCAGGCCTGCCGGGGCTTCCGTTGTGGAGGGGTGCAGGCTCCCCACCGCCCTCAGATGAGTAGATGCGTCTGTAGCCAGGGGTCCTCTTTGGCTAGTTCTTTCCATTAAAAAAAAAAAAGGTTTATTTCTAATATTAAATTTCATAACATATTTGTTGACTAAATCATGGAACATACATACAGACCACCTGTAACCCTTCCCTGGGTATTGATGTGCTTCCAGTCTCTTCAAAGCATGTGTATTGAGTAACCTCCTAAGGTATTCAGGTGATTATTTTTATTATTACTTACCAAGGTTATTATTTTGTTAATTAAGCTCCCTGCAGCCCTGCCACCTGACAAGCTGAAAGGTAAATGTAAGACTCGTGTATTGGAACCCAGTAAGGACCATGTCATGAAAGGGACATTTTTTTTTTTTGCATCACACAAAGGGCACTAAGATATGAAACGCTTAAAATCAAAAGGGCAATGCATAAATAAATAATAAAACCAATGCATAAATAAATAATAAAACCAAAAGGACCAAAAAAAAAAAAAACCCTCAAGAAAAGAGAAGAAAAACCAAACCATTTTGCTATATGCGAGAGTGCAGTTGGGCAGTATTTACTGTAAGGTCGACGAGACGTCACTGTGACACGCGCTCTGGCTCTTCCCGAGGACAGCCGGGTCAAAGGAAGCGTCCGACTTCTGCGGTGAGGGCAGCAGGACAGCGATTTCCTAAAAGCACGTCATCGAGGTCCACAGACAGATTGCGACTGTCGAGGGTTTGCTCCTGGCCTAGGACCAGAAGTTGGTGCATTTACTGACGGGAATAAAATCAAAGCCGAGCTCAGAGCTTTCCAGCCGTCGGGGCAGGAAAATGAAAACTGAAAAGGAAGCGCAAGGGTCGTGGGGCTCTTGAACTGCAGGGGGGAAAGGCAAACCCGACCGGCCGAGTGCTCCATCTTTCCCGGTGTTGCAGTCTGGAGAGGCGGGGTCCTGGGGATGGACCTTGGCTGAGGGTGTTGTGTAAGGGATGGTTTCACAGGACGATGCAGGGGCCGCTGGGTGTGGCCACGTCTGCGGACGCCTCATGACAGCAGCAGGTGAGCTGATGCACCTGCTCGCTGGGGGTGCTTTTCTGTAGGAGCCTCGAGGGACTCTGAGTGCCGTTTCCTTTGCTGGAGATTTAACAAGCGCATGTTGATGTGTGTGGCTTTCAGTTAACTGTCTTGGCATCGTTGGCGGTAAAGGTGACGAGTGCCGTTTCACAGACGAGGAAATCGAGGCTCGGGGAGATTCAGGGGCTTACCCAAGGTCACATAGCCAGTGAGGTGGCCCCGCCAGGACTCAGGCTCAGTTCACTACTTTTCCCTTTTCAGCTGCACCCCTTAGACACACTGTACCCGCGGGCAGTGCGTCCGCCTCTCGGGTGGAGGGATTTCACAGCCAGCAGTGTCTCGAAGTTTGTGTCCCTTCCCACCCACCTGAATCCGTACTTTAAGGAAAAAGAGAAATCGCCTTTGCAGTTAACGCTCGGTGCCCAGAGTGAGTGAGGAAGCGTGAATCTGGAGGCCCGCGTCAGTACCTAATCGCTCTTTCCGTCCCCTGCACCGGGCCAGGGGCCCCTGGGTGGCCTCAGGGGGTCGTTCTCCCAGGGCCTGCCGCCAGCGGGTGAGCGGTAGGTGCATGTTGAATGAATGAATGAATGAATGAATGAATGCCCAAATAACCCTTGAATGAATGAATGAATGAATGAATGCATGAATGCCCAAATAACCTGGAGGTTAGAAAACCCGCTTTACAGTCTGGGCCCTGCCACCAAACAGTCTGTGCATCCTCGGTTGGTCACGTCACCTTCCTGGGCCTCGGTTTCTCCACCTGACTGGTCTTTAAGGCCTCAGGGTCCTGGTGTGCCGAGGTAGCCCTGGGCTCTGAGTGATGGAGAGAGGCAGGGGTCTGGTGTTGGCGTTCCAGGAGGGTACGGCTGGTTTGCGTGTGGGCGGAAGGCGTCCTCTTAGACACCTGGCGGTGGAGTGCAGGGAGTGGGGCCGCTGGCAGGTGGGGACAAGTGAGCAGGACAGGCCAGAGGGGAAAAGGAGGATGTGGGCTTCGTTCACTGAACCTGCAGGTTTCCATGGCAACCCGGTTTTCCTTTGAAGTGCCCCAGCAGTTCCTCTGGGTGCTGGAGCCTCCTGTGAGGGTTGGAGCCAGATTAGAGGGGTGGCACAGACTGGACAGGCCACGGGGCACCAGGAGGAGAGGCTGGTGAGCACGGGCTTGGGACCGGCTGGCCAGTCCCGCCGGGGCCGGGCGGGGGCCCTAGGGGTCCCCTCGCCTCACGCTGTGTGCATCCCTGCTCTTTGTCACTTTTGCCTTGTGTTTTCTGCAGATCATGATCGAGTTCTGTCCTGGGGGAGCTGTGGACGCCATCATGCTGGGTGAGTCTTCCTTGACCCAGTGCCGTGGTGCCAGAGTGGGCTCTTGTCTAGGATGGGCGTCCTTCACTCCCCCGCCCCAGGAATTCACCTGACCTGTTTGAGCACCTCCCCGCTGTGTCCCCTTTCGGAATCAGCGGTTGGGGTGGGTTCTTGGAGAGAAGGTAGAACACTCGTTGGAAGACCAACACTTTCTCTTCAAAAAGCCACGTGTCCTTGAGCTGGTCACTCGCCCCTTCGCGCTTCCTTGGCCATAAGACAGATGTGATGCCTCTTTTGCTTGACCCCACGGCACTCTTAGGAGGTGAAGAGGAGAAGTGCCCGAGGAAAGTTCTTTGAAAAGTGAGGATTCCAACCCATTTTGTAAGAGCTTAATGGCGATGTCAGATTTTGATGTCCCAGGCAAGCTTGAGCAGTAACTAAAAAGTATATTCGTAACCACCACCATTCGGTAAATAGTCACCGTATGCCAGAGATCGTGGTAGCTGCTTTCACATATCTGATCCTCGTGTGTGAAATCAGAAGCGGTCTCTGGCTTATTCTTGACCAGCTGACACGCAGAGAAGTGAAGGGAACTGCCAGAGTCACACAGCAGAGCTGGGACGTGAACCCAGTCTGGGTGACGCAGCTCCTGACCGCTGCCTCCCCCCACCCTGGCCTGCATCAGCCCCTGCTCTTGCCAGCCTGGTGGGCAGAGCATGGGGAAAGGCTGAGGGTTTGGGGCCCCAGAAGGTTGAGTGACTTGTCTGGGACTCAGTATAACGTAGCACCATCTGGCCACTTTTTTTATTGTGAAGGAGGCATTTCCCCCCGAGTTTATCTCAGGAATGTCTCGGATTTTAGCAGCCCTCTCCCATCTCGAGCTATGGTAATGCTGGCCTTCCTCGCAGAGGCCCTTGCCACTCCCACGGTTCCCAGGTGGGTACACACAGCAGGGAAACCGGATCCGGGTATATGTGACATAGCCCTTGGGTGTGCCTTTGAAGATTTTCATTGTGGAATCTAAGGAAAAAAGATGGTGCTCTTGTATGAGTTGAGACTGTCTGGGTTATAAAGAGTCAAAGATGATTCAAACTAGGTTAGCGAAAAAAAAAAGGTAGGGGAGGTGGGAGGGGGAATTTATTTGCACAAATAACTGAAAAGTTCAAGAGTGTCTGGCTTCAGGCACAGCTTGATCTGGGAGTTTTAAAAACGTTGTCACAGGAACTTTTCACCTTGCACATCTCCGGTACCACTGCCAGCCGGGGGACATTCCTTCCCCAGCCGCTCACATCAGGCTCCAGGCTGCTTCCGCTGCTGCTTCCATGACCTGGAATGCCCTGGCCCCCACCTTTTCTCCTCTCAGACACCTCTTCCTCCAAGACACAGCTCGAATGTCCTCTCCTCTGGGGAGGCTTTCAGTTCCGTGGGCGGAAGGAGTTCCCGCCCATCTTGCCCTTCCACACACTCGTACCCCCTCTGTGCCCAGCACTACTGCCCGTTTCCGTGTCCCTCTCTGCGTCCCTGCACTGAACGCAGCCTGACACGGAGTAGGCATCACTCGGCCTTGCTCACAAACGATCTCTGTCTCTCGGAAGGGGTTTGTTTATGAACCTGAACTCCGAGGGAAGACTGGCTGGTGCGTCCCTGCACTGAACGCAGCCTGACACGGAGTAAGCATCACTCGGCCTTGCTCACAAATGATCTCTGCCTCTCGGAAGGGATTTGTTTATGAACCTGAACTCCGAGGGAGTTCCTAATCTCAGATCTGTGACTTCCTACATGCGTGACCTTGAGCAAGTGACCCGGCCTCTCTGAGCCTCGGTCTCCCCATCTATAAGATGGGGTACTAATTGTGCCTGCTCCATAGGGTTACCGAGGTGCTTAGGCATGAACTTGGTTGACGGTAAGTGCCCGTTAGTGCTGGTGGCTTCTGCGGGCCTTGGACCTGGTGTGGGCTCCACACTGAGCTGCCTGCAGCGAGCTGACTTGCTGAGCTGACAACGGTTCTCTGTGTTTCCAGAGCTGGACAGAGGTCTCACCGAGCCCCAGATTCAGGTGGTTTGCCGCCAGATGCTGGAAGCTCTCAGCTTCCTGCACGGCAAGAGAATCATCCACCGGGACCTGAAGGCCGGCAATGTGCTGATGACCCTGGAGGGAGACATCAGGCTGGGTGAGGATGCTGCGGGGGAGGGCGGGAAGGCGGAGGGTGAGAGAGGGAGCCTTGGGCGAGTGTGGGAGCCTCCCCTCACTGCCGCCCGGGACGTTGGCAGTCCTCCCCGGCCCGCCCGGGACTACAGCGTGTGTACAGTTCCCATCAGTTCTCACTCGATGGTGACCTTTGTCCCCAGGGACATTTGGCAGTGTCTGGGGGCATCTTTGGTTGTCATGACGAGAGTCAAGGGGTGACCAGTGGCACCTGGCGTGTAGAGGTGAGGGATGCTCCACAGCCCAGAGCACACAGTGGCCCGCAGGGCGCGGTGGGGAGGTGCTGGTCCAGCCCTTCGCTCTTGCCCCCAGTCAGAGAATTTGAGTGACGGATAGAGGATGAGCCGGATCCATTCCCAGACAGGAAATAGTACGTCAGGCACACGCATCCAAAACTTATTTTTTTGTCTCCTCCCCCTTTGGGTTTTTAAAAAAATTATGGTAAAATACACGTAACATAAAATTTACCCTTTTAACCGTTTTTCACAGTACAGTTCAGTGGCCTTAAGATTCACATTGTCTTGCCACCATCTCTGCCACCCGTCTCCAGAACTTTTTCATCTTCCCAAACTGAAACTGTCCCCATCGAACACTAACCCCCACTCC